ATACAATCAAATTAATATTTCAGTACAAATCAAAATAATATTTCAATACAATTAGATTACCACACACACTGAAGGCACCTGGTAAATTCTTTGAACCTACAAATGAAACAAATGATTTTGAAATTTTTCTTGTTATTATTTAATCATCTTTGCTTATCAGATTCTTTATTCCTTACAGATTGAACTTCCTCTACTAACTTCTGTTTTTTATTACTTATTTTCAACATCTACTTTCCACAATAACATAGGATCTGTTTATTGCATGTTTATCTTCTAATTTTTATTGGGATTTTTTTCATCCTCTAAGATGCTTGTAATCTAAACTTCCATTAGATTAAAAAGTTTATTGTTACCTTTATAATGCTAATTCTAAGAAGTTTCCCTTTATATTCCTTGACACAGTTATTTGAACTCTTTTCACACATTTAAACTCTTTTCCTATTCACCTGAATGTATGGATGAGAGACATCTCAGTGAATAGTGTGTCTTTCTTGTAATTATGGTTAAAATGCTATATAAATGGAGATAACACACTGCTACAGATTTTTCTGGCACATATTAAATTTTGGACACAATTCTAACAAGAAAGAATAGAAATGTATCACGACTATTTTTACAGTATACTTTAAATGGTAAACTGTTGACGAGAAGCATTTATTGAGTATGTAGGTATATAGAGTCCTTTAGTGGAATCATTTGATTAGGGAATTCACATTATTGTGTTTAGGTATATTTTCCTTAAGTAAGTTCTCCTTCCTAGAAGCATAACCCTAGTACTTGGGCTCTCAAAGTTAATTGGTAAAAGAAACCCGGGAGACTGAATACCCAGATGTCTAGTATGATGATCAGACATTAAACTCTGCCTTCTGTCTTCCAATCTAGGCACTGTCTGTGCTACCCTCCAAGAGGATAAGCCTTTCTTCCAACTCGAGTGAACACTTGACCGCCTACCTGTGTGGGCAGATGAGGGCATCTGGGAGGTCTAACGACATCTTAATGGCATTTTTTGATCCTGCTCTTGGTTTAGTTTCACTCTCACTCTTCAGCTAATTTGCAGGATCAGTTTCTGAGCCTTTGGGATTTTCTGTGCAATAAATCTTACATCTTCTTTCTACTCTGTTTGTTACTAAGAATTAAATGGTGTCAATATTGTTATGTTAGGTACACCCAATTGTGCTTTAAAGTTCCCCAAATGTAAGAGGTGCTTTCTCATGTTTCTTTTATTGTTTCTTCTGTTTTTTTTTTTAAACTTTTTTTCACATTAGGAAAATTTTAAGAGGAAGAAAGGCTAGTACAAAAATTTACCTCTCCAATTTCTTTAACCAGAACCTTGAAAATGAAATTTATACGTAATGAGCAAACCTTTGTGATACCCACAGAAGAACATCAGGAGATAATCTTACCCCTCATAGCTTTGAAACCTTAGCTGTAAAATACCTGTTAGTATAGCTTTTATTCTTGCTATGGCTTTATTGGAAAGTGTTGTTATGTTTGAGATAAAATAACATTTGAATGAATAATCAAAATGTAAAAGTAAACAATGCATTTTTCATTACATATCAACAATGAAAACCATACCACACACAATTCATTTACTTAAATGTAACATTTATAATAATTTATTTTTCCTTTTGTTTTGCAACAACTGTACCCTTATTATCAAATGTAAATTGGTCTTATTAACATTCAGTATGTGTGATATACATTGTTACCTGTTGTTTGTTGTATCTAGCATCAGTGATTATTTAGACAACTCTTTTTAAGATTATATTTTTCAAATGAAGATTTATTTTTAAAAATAGCACAAAATAGCATATTTTTCTTTTGTTACATTGGTTTATTTGCCATATTGTTCTAATTTGATTAGGACCTGAGATTAGAGTCTAAATGGTAACAGGAAACTAGCAAGCTTCAGCACTGGAGGTCAATTTAATTACACTGTGCATGACAGAAACTAGGCCATGTGGGTATTGCCTTTGCCACCAGCAATTGACACCTGTGTGTTAATGAGCTGGTAATTAAGAATTGGCACATACAGACACAGTTTACTGTTTGGGACTGGGATAACCATATGCTACTCAACTTCTCTGCTAAGCACTTTGTTAGCTTTAGAACCACACAATTATGTTTCTGAGATTTCTTAAATGCTAATCCCCCCTCAAAAGATAAAAAGCAGGTCATTTTTCATCATTTTAAGTGTAAGCAACTTGCTGAATTCAAAAAGTTTAATTTGAAGAGCAAAATGTTTGAAAAAATATAGCTGAAGAATTTGTTTAAAAAACAATATGTTTGTTCAGTTTAAAATTATTATAGGATTTCCATCTTAAAAGGTCTTTTGTATATTTTTAAAGGCCAAAAGTGACTTTGCATAAACAGACACATGTAGAGAGACAGCCTCTGTTATTCAAACCTTTCTCTTGAAGGGACGTGGACTATAACAAACCAGCTTTGAGAAATCACAGTGGGAGGAGGCAGGGGACATCTCTGTGACATCAGGGTAGAACAGCATCTATGGTTTCCTCTTTGAGAAGCTCCTTGTATACTGTTTGTTTGTTTCTTGTGCTGTTTGCAGAAATGCTGTGGATGCAGCTGCGTGGAGAGGCTCATTTGACAAAAGATGGAGGCAAGCAAACAACCACATGACTGAGCTCAGAAGCCGATTCTCGACTTGAGGCATTCGGATAAGACTTCTCCCCAGCAGACAGCGTGACCGAAAAGCTCCCGTGAGACTTTAGCCGGGCACTAACTGAGCTGCACTAATTCCAAACCACACAAACTGTGAGATAAATGTGGGAGGGTTATGCTGCTCTCTTCCTGGGAGTCTTGTTTAGCAACAATAGATAGCTAATACAATAGATAATTGAGAAACACATTGTCTGTTACAGTACTATAAGCATTGACTTTTCTGGTGTGGCGTGGCTATTTTCTCAAACAACATATATAATGTGCACTTGTTGTTTCTTTGCTTTGCTCTTCAATTTTCGCTTCTACTTTACTCCTCATCACTCACACAACACACACACACACACACACACAATATTAATATATTGGCTTAAAAATATAAAATGTTCCCATCAAGTGAAATATGCATTAACTTTGGTGACTTTCAGTTGTGGGAATTACTTCTAATTTTCTTCTTTGAAAGCATTTACTTTTTCATAAAACCCTCTGTAGGACATATAGCCTTTTATATGCAGATTGGTATAATTACACTTTGAAATATCTTTGAATTCCCTGTAGCTTAAACTGAGAACATGAAAGGCCAAATGTTATATTGAGCTGAAGGATATAAAAGTGCGAGTACATCAATCCAAAATGGGATATAGAAATGAACGGCGCTACACAGCACAGCCCGTTTCTGACAGATTATTGAAGAGTCTTTAACTACAGAGACTGTCATCCCTAGCAAGAGAATCCTGCCTGGGAATGGCCTAATCTGTTGATGTTTGTTATCCTTTTTGTACCAAAATGCGAATACCTATGAAGCAAATCAAGAGACCTAGTGTAACAAAAGCTTTACCTCTTTTCGAGGACAGTGGCCTAACCTCCACCACAGAGCAGAATGTTATAAGGAAGGAATTATCTACCCGATCTATCATGCCAGAAATGTTAAACATTACATTTCAGGAAGTCAATAGAAAACCCACATGGCAACAGCGAAACTTTCAAGATCTCAGCAACAAACAAGGAGTTCTCTTCCACGTGGAAGCATGTTCCCAGGTCCAGTGTAGGCATGTCCAGAGTATTTAAAAAGGAGAGGGAATTTACAGCACTTCCTGCTATTCCAGGTGACTGGGATTCAGTTCTCACTGGATACATGGAGAGTTACGACTCTCCATTATTCAAAGTCCAAGGGGTCACATACCTGCCTCTGGCAGACCTACTCACCAGTGCACATACATACATGCAGGCAAAACACACATACATGGAAATTTAAGTAAAATGTTGTTTTTAAGAAAAGTATCCAAAATGCCTTCATTCCTTTTTACCAACAATGGGAAACTAAAAGAAGCTCAGAGGGTCTGTGCAAAGCCAAAACTTGCCATCAACACTTAACTTATTAGGAACAAATTACATGAAACTAACTTTATTTTAAGAGTATGTTCTGCTAACTTTTAATAGTCTATAAATATCATGATTGCTTTCACTTAAGTAGATCTCATAATTAGTCTTTTGAATTAGCAATACATAAAGAACCTTTTGTCTTTTTTATGTAAAGGGCATGCCTTCTTATAAAATTAAATTCCTTATAAATAACTGAAAAAAAAATCCATCTAAACTGGTTAACAACAACAACAACAAAATTTTGAAAATTCAAAACAAAATGACCTAAATTCTGGTGTCTCCAGAATGCAGCAATTCTAACCAGCTTCACTTGAAATGAAAGATAGAGGATAAACGTTTTGAATAAGAAATACTTATAAACCAATGGTAATTCACAGAGAAATGAGGAGGCAATGGATTGTAATCGTTATGCATTCAATCTAGGCTAGGGAGTTTTCCCACTTTTGGCATCTTGCACAACCCACCACTTATTAATCTTCAAAATATGTATGGAAGGAAATGATGATAATTCAAGTAGTATTTTAGGAAAACATAATTGTCAGTTTGCTCTGAAACTGTCATTTTTAAAACACAACAATTTGAAATGTCTTTTTTTTTTCTGGGACAAATGACAAAATTTTGAATATTTGAATGTTTCAGACATGCACTAACAAATTAGTGCATATAAGGAATTAGAACTGTCCTTGATAACCAACTGAACAAATAGGAAATAGATGACCTAGAATGATGCTAAGACATCTGAATCACTACCTGCACTACTTGAAAACCATGCATCATTACTAAAGCTCTATGGTTAATTCAGACACTTAGATCAGTTCTCACATCTAAATTTGACCATATATACAATTCTTTGTGGGACGATATTTGACAAAACAATCCCTATTATGTAGGTGGAGTATCATTTTATGTTCTGTGACTGGACCCTGCCATGAATTCATCTAGGATTCTTGCTGGGAAGAGAAGACTCTCTAAATTCCTACAAGGCTCTTAATAACCCAATAAAATGTTTATAGTTATTATCTGATAAATATTCATTACATCTTATTCTTCTGATAAGTGTAATAATTGATGCTATTTTGTTAAAATATGATATAAAAAAACCCATGCGTTTTTGTGTGACTCTATAGTATAGCACAAACCAAGGAAAAATGCCAGAATGGTCTTTAAAATAGGTTAAAAATAATTATGAGGTTAAAAATAATTGTGAGAAAGCTAGTGCTTTCTCAGTTGGTCTGAGCAGTTCATCTGGGAAAAGCAGTGTGCTCTTTGTTACATCACTTACATCAAAAGGAACTCATCCACGCGTCAACACAAGACAAGCTGAGACACATAAACTTATTTCTAAATGCTATGGCTAGTGAACACTGGAGCTTGGAAATGACCTATGATCTGTGGGAGCCTGTTGTCATTTTTTCAGTTTAAAGAAGAAGATAGGATGGAGCACTTCTCAAAGTAATGTTTCGTTGGAATGATCCAAAATAGATTCTGAATTTTAAAGAGAAATTATTGCAGAGGCATAAATCCCTACACTATGCACTATGACTATAGAGATAGGTGATTTATTCAGAACTTATGGTACAATCAATAAGAATGATGGGAAGAGTTTAATGGTTAAATTAAACTTAAGACTTTATTATATGTATAACGATAAAAGTTCTTCTGTATTGAGTACCTTTGTTATTTTTTTTGCCAAAATGTAAGAATCTAATAAAATAGTATATAAAAATGTGTAGCTATATTTTTTTTGTGGCAAAGTGTATATATAGTCAATGTGTAGTTTTGTTTTTTTTTTAAATCTTTCCTGGAAGGGACATGGAAGCTCAAAATGACTCCAGAGTTTCATGAAATTTACAAGGATCAGAAAAAGTAACAAGATTCACAAGGTTACTTCTAAAGGTTAGAAAAGCATCAAGAAATTGCTGGGAGAGGAGACTCTCCAAAGCATCTGTCTGCAAACTGGGTAGGAAGCTCCAGGGATACAGCTTCCTTGTTCACATGCCTTGGTGGGCTTTTCCATGATGCGCAGCCTTGGAATCAGCCATGTTCTTGTAAGTAATGCCAATAAATGCATTGGCTTACTAAAATATACTACAGTGGAATAGCCTCGTTTGACAGCCTTCAGTGCCCTACGCATAGTGAACAGATATTTATTCCTCCTCAGGAAAAATCAGTAGTAGCATACATGGGGAGAAGATGAAAGCAAGAAATCTCCTAGTTTAAACCTCACAACATATGTTACTGAAGCCTCACTTTAACTAACTGGGTGGGAGCAAGTGAAGAGGAAATTATAGGGAATTTCATTTTCAAAAGGACATTGTATGTTCTATCATTTTCTGAGAGATTTCAAATTCTTTATCATATTAACAGTCTCTTGGGAGTTTTTCCATAAAACAATCTTGTTTAAAAGTATTTTAGCCTCACATTCCAAACCACTGACCATAAAAATGTTTTTGCACAAAATTAGCATCCCTAAATGAGAGTTATGAAGGACATATTTTGGGAAATGTTGATTTACCATTCCACTTACTTCTCAGAAATAGAAAATTGGGCTGTGAGAAATGTGGCCTAAACTTGTGTGACAAAATAACAGCTGAAATGCAATAACTAGAAAATTTGATGCACATCAGACATAGCAAATGAGGTTTTTAATATAGTTTGGGTTAAGGTCATTATGGTAGTTATTTTTCAACTGAAAAAAATTCATACAATATATTTTGATCATTTTCCCTCCCCTACTTCTTCCAAGATTTTCCCACTTCCCTAAGCACACAATTTTATGTTCATTTTGTCTAAGTCATAATAACTTTTTAGAATAACAAACTGGGGGGCAAAGTATTTAGCTGGCTCAGTGAAGAAAGGACTTGCTGCGCAAGTCTAAGGATCAGAGTTCTGATTCCCCAGAATCTACATCAACAACTAGGTTTGTGGGGCAGCCACTAGTAATCCTAGTTACTGGAAAGTTAAATTGGGGGAAGCTGGCCTGCTCGACTACCTAGATTTGGCAACTTTTGGGTTCAACCAGTGAAGGGAAGAATTATCAAAAAGGGCACCCAAGCTAGGAGTGATGGTACACACTTTGAATGCCAGCACTCTGAGTTACAGGCAGGTGGATTTCTGTGAGTTTGAGACCAGCCTGTCTACATAATGAGTTCCAGGACAACCAGGGCTAGTTAGAGACCCTGACTCAAAAAGAAAGAAAGAGACAAAAATATAAACAAAGAAACAGGGTACTCAAGGTCAGCCTCTGGCCTCTATGTGCTTGCTCACATGTGCTTGTGTATCTACCCATGCACAGGTGAACACACACACACACACACACACACACACACACACACACACACACACACACACACACCAAACATAATACACAAACGTACATCTAAAAGTAATTTGCTCTGGTTTCCTTTTCTTCTTTCTTTCCTTCCTTCCTCCCCCTCTCTTCTGTGTCTCTCTTTCTTTTTCTTATTTCTTCCTTTCTTTTTTTTATAATTTATGCCTAATACTTGAGTCCCCCTCATTGGATTATTTATTCATTGACACAATTCATGGTTTATTACATATATAATTTATACTGCTTTTGACATACTGTAAACAGATGGTGTAATGATTACTTTTCCCACAGCATGTTAAATATCCTTGGAAGAATTGTACAGGAGGTGAGAAGAATCATCACAAAGGGTCATCAGTTCTCTCACTCTTTTTCTAAGATTTGTAAACACTGCTTTAGTGGTGTGTGTGTGTGTGTGTGTGTGTGTGTGTGTGTGTGTGTGTGTGTGGTGATGTTATCAAAGAAGAGACCATCTCCTTGAAACATCACTTTATAAAATGCAAACATTGGGTCAGTACAAAAGGTGGACTGCCTTGGTTTTTGAGAAATGTTTGAGTTCAAATCATGTGTCTCCCACTGTTATGGTTAGTTTTCAATGTCAGCTTACCTTAACTTAGAATCACCTGGAAAAAGTGTAGCAGGTGACCAATTATCTAGACCAAGTTGGTTGTGAACATTCCTGTGGGATGGTCTTGACTGTCAACTGAGCCAGTCCCTGTGAGCAGTATCAATTCGTAGCAGAGATCCTAAATTATATAAGATAGAAGAAAGCAAATGGGAGAAAGAAGCAAGCAGCCTGACCATTTATTTGTTTCTGCTCTTGAATATGATGTCGTATGACTGGCTACTTGAGTGTGTATGCCTTTGACTTCCCCAAAATGATGGAGTGTAACCTGGAATTGTAAGATGAATAAACTTTCCTTCCCTATGTTGCTTTTTGTCAGGATATTTTATCATAGCCACAGACATGAAGCACACTGGCTCACAAACTGTCAGTGTAGCAACATCATACTTAAAATACTGCTGGAGGACTGAGTAGGTCTTTTTCAATACTGTTACTTAATAAGTAGTCACAAACATATTTTTAGTGCTCATCACCATACTTGAAATTACTTGTGTCTAGGAGTCAAACTAACTAAATAATTTCTAAACATTAATGATTCCAGTGATTTCTATTTTATTTCTTATTTGAAACCATTTTGTATAATGATAAAAAGATAAGCAGGTCGATCATTGGATCTTTCTGAATGGGTTAAACAGCTTAATTGTAAGTGAAAAAAGAGAATCGAAACTTTTAAGGATATTAAAGTATCTTAAAAATCTAAATTTAAATACACAGTTGTATTCCTTTATAAAAAATAAAGATAACTTTTGCATACTAGGTCTGCATTTAATACAACATTTGAACATGTTTCTATCAATGAGAACCATGTCCTTAGATTACCCAATAGCCATATGTTCAAGGACCTGGATTATACTGATCTTTCTAATTTTTTTCAGCTAAGAACAATACAATTTTGACTGTGTGCAGAAAAAATTATCTTTATGTGGTGGTGAAGGAACTTGATAACGTGTTTATCCCATTATGCCTATAGAAAAATGAACAGCATACTTTAAAATTCCATCTAAAAATTGACATTTAGTAAAGAAATTAATTGTAATTATGATGTTAGTAATAATGATCTTGAACACTATTTTGTAAAGTTCCAATGAAAACAAAATTAAGGTTCCCCTAGACCCAGTGTCCCAGTCTTTTCGTTAGCGCTCCTGTCCACATCTCCTGTGGATCCCACAAACCATCCTCTCATAGTATACCTCCCCAACTCTCACTGTTTCCAGCCCCTGACTCCAGCAGCCACCCTCTGCCTACAGATCAGTAAACCAGGCAGGTTTACTGCCCACAGACCTTTTCTCCACTCTCTCTCTGTTCCTCCAGTCTCATCCCCAGCTCTTCCGCAGCATACCCACGGCAGGCTTCCCTTTACCCCTGCTCCCATCTTCTGTTGATCCCACAAATCTTCCCCTTCTAAAATTCACTCCCCACTTGTTTCTTTGTCCCAGACTCCAACTCCAGCAGGAAACCCCTGCTAACCCAAGGTCTGATCTTCCCAGGGCAACAAGAAAGCTGAGGGCAGACCCCCATCTCTTTTACAGCTCACAAGATCTATCCCCTGAGCCTCACTCTTAGCGCTGCAGCAGAAAACCTGTTGTGGTCTCCCATTCATCTACTGTCCCATCCCCAGGTTATCATAAAAAACATTCTCCACCCTTTCTCTTCCCTCTACTCATTCCAGTATCCCAACCTACAATGTCAGCAGGCACTCCCTGTGAATACATCAGCTAAATGGGCTAGAGAAATAGCAGAAACAGAAACCAAGGAACAAAGTACCCACCCAACAAAGAGAAATCCAGAAATCAGCACCTAGTCCTATAATCAATCATTCCAAACCCAGATGCCAAGACAACAGCATAAAAATACAATCAATAACAGCCAAGGCAATATGTCTCCAGGAAAACACAGTTATCATAGAACAACAGGCCCTGAATATTTCAACATAGCAGAAACTCAAGAAAAAGATCTTAAAATAGCTGTTATAAATATGATAGAGATCCTTAAAGAAGAAATTAAATCCCTAAAAGAAATCCAGGAAAACACACGAGTGTAAGGAAATAAATAAAACTGTTCAGGACTTGAAATTGGAAATAAAATCAATAAAGAAAATCCAAACTAAGGAATTGTGGAAATGAAAAATTTAGGAATTTGAACAAGAACAACAAAGGCGAGATTCATTAACAGAATATAAGAACTAGAAATGAGATTCTTAGGTATTGCAGATATGGTAAATGAAATATACACTGCAAAAAAAGCTTAAATCTAAAAATCTTTGGAAACAAAATATCCAAGAAATCTAGGAAACTATGAAAATACCAAGACTAAGAATAGTAGGTATAGAGGAAAGAGAGAAACTCAGCTCAAAGGTCCAGAAAAATGTTTTCAACAAAGAAGAAAATGTTCCTAACCTAAAGAAGGAGTTGCCTGTAAAGTTAAAAGAAGCATACAGAACACCAAATAGATTTAATCAAAAAGGAAATTACCACACCATATAACAAAGAAAGAATATTAAAAGCTGTAACAGACCAAGTAACATATAAAGGCAGAACTATTAGAATTATACCTGACTTCTCAATGGAGACACCAAAAGCCAGAAAGGCCTGGACAGATGTGCCACAGACTCTAAAAGATCCCAGATGCTAGCCCAGATAACTACTGCCAGGAAAATTTTCAACCATCATAGATGGAGAAAATAAGATATTCCATGGTAAAATCAAAGTTAAACATTATCCACAAATCCAGCTTTACAGAAGGTGCAAGAAGGAAAATTATAACTGGAGGTTTACTATACTCATGAAACAAACAAACAAACAAACAAACAAAAAACAGCCAATAAATAATCTCAGAGCAGAAAAATCAAAAGAAGTGAAATACATACACACACACACACACACACACACACACACACACACACACACACACAAACCATCATCACCACCACCACCATACAATGAATCAATGAAACAAAGTGTGGGTTTGTTGAGAAAATCAAAAAGATAGACAAACCCTTATCCAAAGTAAGTAAAAGGCAGAGAGAAAATATTCAAATTTACAAAATCAGAAACAAAAAAGGGAATAACAACAGAAAATGAGGAAATTAAGAGAATCATAAAGATATACTTTAAAAACCCATACTTCACCAAGTGGAAAATCTAAAAGAAATAGATAATTTTCTTGATGAATAAAACTTGGCAAAAGTAAACCAAGATGAACAATTTAACTAAACCTATAAATTCTAAGGAAATAAACTCATTAAAATCTCTCAACAACAACAGAAAGCCCAGGACCAGATGGTTTTATTACCAAAATCTACAAGATTTTCAAAGAAGAGTTAACACCAATACTCTTCAAATTCTACCATAAAATAGAAACAGAAGGAACATTGTCAAATTCTTTTTATGAGACTGCAGTCACACTGATACCCAAACTACACAAAGATTCACAAATAAAGAGAATTACAGACCAATTTTCCTAATGGACATTGATGCAAAAATACTCAATAAAATACAGGCAAACTGAATCCAAGAACACAGAGAAAATAATCATCCATCATGACCAAATAGGCATCATCCCAGACAAACAGGAATTGTTTAACATATGAAAACCTGTCAATGTAATCTACCATCTAAACCAACTAATAAAAAGGGAAAAAAACAAAGCAAAACCATCTCATTAAATGCTGAAAAAACCTTTGACAAAATCCAGCACTCCTTCATGATAAAAGCCTTAGAGTGAGCAGAGATTCAAGTGACGTACCTAAATATAATAAAGGGAATTTACAGCAAGCCTATTGCAAAGATCAAATTCAATGGAGAGAAACTTAAAGGAATTCCACTAAAATTGGGGACAAGACAAGGCTGTCCACTCTTTTGTTATCTATTCAATGTAATACTTGAGGCTTTGATTAGATCAATAAGAGAACTAAAGGAGATCAAGGGGATACAAGCTGCAAAGGAAGAAGCCAAAATATCATTATTTGTTGGTGACATGATAGTACAAATAAATGACCCTGAAAATCCATCAGGGATCACCTACAGCTGGTAGACACTTTCGTCAAAGTGGCGGGATACAAGATTAGCTCAAAAATCGGTAGCCCTCCTGTATACAAATGGCAAGGGGGCTGAGAAAGAAACCAGGGAAACAATACTCTTCACAATAGCCTCAAATAATATAAAATATCTTAGGTAATGCAACCAAACAAGTGACAGACTTGTATGACAAAAACTTCAAGTCTTTGAGGAAAGATTTTGAAGAAGGTATCAGAAGATGGAAAAATCTCCCATGCTCATGGATCAGTAGGACTGATATAACAAAATGCCCATCGTACCGAAAACAATCTACAGATTCGACACAATCCCCATCAAAATTCAACACAATTCTTTACAAACCATGGAAAGACACTTCTCAACATCATATTGAAAAGTGTAAAAGCCAGGATAGCCATAGCAGTCCTGTGCAATAAAAGAACTGCTGGAGATTTCAGTATTCTGATTTCAAGTTGTACTACAGAGCTACAATAATAAAAATCCCTATGGTATTGTGTAATAAGAAACATTGATCAATGGAATCAAATTGAAGATTGAGACATAAATCCACACACATATGGTCAACTGATTTTTGATAAAGAAGTCAGAAATACACTGGAAAATGAAAGAATCTTCAACAAATGGTGATGGTCAAACTGGATGTCAGCATATAGGAGAATGTAAATAAAGTCATAGTCATTAACCTGCACAAAACTCAAGTCCAACTGGACCAAAGACCTCACCATAAAACCAGATACAGTGAAATGGATAGAAGAGAAAGTGGAGAATAGCCTTCACTGCATTGGCACAGCAGATGACTTTCTGAACAGAACACCAATAGGGCAGGCACCCAGATCAACAATTAATAAACAGGACCTCATGAAACTGAAAAACTTCTGTAAGTCAAAGGATACCTTCAATAGGACAAAGTGGCCACCTACAGAATGGGAAATTTTGTTTTTACCAACTACACATCTGATAGAGGGCTATATCTAACATATGTAAAGAACTCAAGAAACTAAATATCAAAACAATAAATAAGCCGGGTAGTGGTGGCACACATTTTTTTTTCATTTTTCTTTATTAAGAAATTTTCTACTCACTCCACATGTTATCCACAGACCCACCCTCCTCCCTCCTCCCACCCCCAGCCCTTTTTCCCAAGCCACCCCATATCCCCACATCCCCCAAATCGAGGTCTCCCATAGGGAGTCAGCAGAGCCCAGCACACTGAGCCTAGGCAGGTCCAAACCCCTTCCCAATGCACCAAGGCTGTGCAAGGTGTCATAC